CTTGGGGGACGGGGACGATCTTTTGTCGGATTCTCTAAAACACTAGACCGTCTCTTTATATCTTTAACATTGTTTACTTTTAATAATTGAAATTTTTTTGCTTATTATGATTGGTTTCATTCTATCTAGTAAAGTTAGAAGGTTAATTTGATTTTTTTACCGCGCATTTACGTTTAATATTTAAATGTATGCGCTGTACATAGTTATTCTCAATTTAGATTCCTAAAGTAACGTGATTATAAAGTTCACACAAATTACACATAATAAATAATAAATACAAAGTATATGCGTATGAATAGTTTCAGATATATTATGTACAATGTGCGCGTGTTATGTGGGTAACATTTTCATCTACTTTCAACAGACTAATTGTACGTCGTTGCGGCTGTTAGGAGGTCTTTTCCTCAATGCCAATTTGACATTCTTTTCTGTAAAAATAGTAGTGAAAATATTAAATACAAATTGAATATATCACACAATCATTTTAGTCACTTCTTTAAACCTTTCTTATACACACGAAAACACTCAAAATTCAAAATGCATCGTCTCTTAAAGAAAACTGAATTGAGAAAACAGTCAGAAGACGAGAATTCCTTTTCAAAACAGTCCACTAATGATACAGTTCCCTCACTTCCAACTCTTACCCGGTCTTCTCTCATCATGCCAACACTAACTAAACGATTTAGTGTATTACGCAGAGGGGATGCCCCCCCTGGCACTGCCGAGAAGGAAAATGACTCAACTGATATACAAGTCTCTGATAATTCAAAAATTTATAACATACATAGTTCTCGACTACAGACAAAATCAGGTTTATTATATGTCCGATTAACGTTAATGCATCTATTTATTATTATTGTTCTCAATATTAACCAATATTAATTTTTTTTTTTTAAAAAAAAAAAATCTATAAAGCGCGTTCACCGTTGAACAATCTCGCAGAGTTACGTGAAGATGAATCAATTCACGACTTTTCAATCTCTTCTCCAAATTCTGTACAAACACCATTACCAACTTCCCCTATAATTACAAATGACGTGAATCAAGAAATATCTAATGCTAGAAAATTTTATGGTAAAAATGTCACTGGTGGATACCCTATTCAACAAGGATCTATTCATAATCCTTCTAATATTAAAGATACTACCGATAATTTATCTTATTCAAATGTAAATAATAATAGCCATATTGACGATTCTCAAAACATAATGGTCGAGCCATTAAATACTGCTTCTACATCGAATGATCAAAATAATATGAAAGATTCTAATGAACAAAATGTAAACAATGTTAAAGATATAAAGAGACGGTCTAGTGTTTTAGAGAATCCGACAAAAGATCGTCCCCGTCCCCCAAG